CCAGCTGCGAGGCAATGAGCAAAGCTTATTCACACGCCAACAAGCCCAACAAGACACAAAGGGGGTGTGGCAAACACACACGGGGTACTCACGCGTGCGGCGTGCGTGTCTTGCAAAAAGCTCAACTCATATAAGACGGTGTTTGGGATGACGTCAAATTATTTAGCTGCTTGGTCCCGGGCGAGAGGTTAGATTTATTATAAGTTTGCCTGCATCAACCTTTCGCAGGTGTACGGTAACTACCATCTAAAAGTGAATTAAAGAGTTTAAGAGAGTGCTAATAGCTCACTTGCTCTGAGGTTTCCCTTGCGAGAAAATCGACATCCATGTCTATTATTTCAAGTGTAATAAATTTAAAGACGAACAACGAACTTAACAGAAAAGCGGAAATTTTTGCCCGACTGGGGAATCGACTAGTTTCAGTTGAGTAACGAAGTAAGAAGTTTTCTCAGTTCTCTTAATGGGCGCTGAGTTTGGAATCCTTCAGGCCGGGTGTGGAGGCAAGCCTGGTAATATCGACGTTCGCTAAATGGCACTTTCTAAGCGCACGGGTAGCGGGGTTTAATGAGCGGACTGTTGGAAAATATGATTATTGATTTATACACAAGGTACTGGTAGAAGGGTGGCACGGGAGGGTACACCTATTTCAGCCTCTGCCGGCTTCATGAGCCGTGACGTGCCGGCAGTTTGAAGAAGTGAAACGTAAACAATTCAGCTTTATTATCGCACACGTTTGGGAGCTTGGGATTTTTTTTTATTACACTCAGGGTATAGCACACACTTTAACACACGCAGATACAATAAACTCAGGGATAGCAATACTCAGGGTAGAGCACACACTTTAACACACACAGATACAATAAACTAAGGAATAGCACTCAAGATATAGCACACACTTTAACACACAGACACAATAAACTAAGGAATAGCACTCGAGTTATAAACACACACTTTAACACACTTTAACGCACGCAGATACAAAAAAAACTCAGGGATAGCAATACTTAGGGTATAGCACGCATATACACTCAAACACACAATGCAACACACTTCAACACGCTCCGACACACCAAACTAAGGGATAGCACTCAAGGTATGGCAATACACACAAGCTGCAACACCATCCGACACACCAAACCAAACACACAATGTATAGCACATATACACACCATCCGACACACAAAACTAAGCACTCAATGTATAGCACACATACACACACTTCAAGACGCTCCGACCAACACACCAAACTCAGGTGTAAGACTCACTAAATTTTGTTACACTGTATTTGTTGCAAGTAGAAATCTAATATTTAACTTGCTTCATTACGTCACCTTCAATTCGTCTTTTATTACAATTTGCTCAGATATGTGATAAACGTTTTTTTTTTAACTCTGCTACTACAGGTTATTTTGGCTGCTGTTTCAGACTACAATGTAACAGATATAGAGTAGAAAAGACCGGAAAAATGTGTGTTAATATATTTTGTACACGCTAATTGTAGAAAAACTCTACTTCACCTACACCACGACCTATTCGGTCTTGATTGTTTGACATTCCATTCAAAAAAAAAAAAAAAGATGTATGACTTCGGGGGATGATGAATTTGACACGATCACCGGCCGGCAACAGCTTTGAACCAAAGCCCTCTCACCGAATCCACTTGAGCAATCAGGAAATTCCCACACCGGTCACAGCACCAAACTTCTCCATTTCATTCTCAATAAAAACCATTTATTTTCCAGCACTCTCAATGATTTCATAAAGGACGTACTCGCCCCTCGTCACCCGAACAATACCCACCCCCGCCCCTCTGCTGGTCCGGCTATTGAGACAGGCGCCTGCGGACTGAGGAGATTTCCTTGTGACCCCTGCTTGTTCTGACGAAGGTCCATCTATCAGAAGTTACATATCGAGTGTGCCGACAGGAAACTTTTGTCGCTGTCACCAGCAGAATAGACTAACAAATGATCTCAGAGTCTGGCCGGGTGGAAACATGGCCAGCCAAATGGTGCCCTCGCCTCCGAGAAAGATATTACGCTGTCTGCACAAGACGTGATTTCCTTTGTCTGGCACTCGCCGCCACAATTCGCAAATGGCCGAGGCGACTGAGTGCCAAGTACAAGCTCAGGCGAGGAAGCGACATGTCGGGTTTAATGGAAATATGCGATGGCGGAAATAGACTGGTATATATTCACTGGCCTGACCCTGCGATAAAGCTCACACCGGCCACAAAGCTGCGAAAGAAACCGTTGTTGTCAGGGTGTTGTTTGTTGGACCCAAGTTTGTCTCAACCTTCGTGGCGGTCATTTCAGACTCGATATGAAATCTAGAGTGGACTTTCTGGGCCGTGCATTTGGCCATTGTTGAATGGTGGGGGGAGGGGGGGGGTTAAAATTGGATTGTCTGGGCCGTTCAATCCTCTAATCTTATGGATTATATTATTTATATATTTCTGCTTGCATTCTGACACGGACTCTAAGAAACGCTTTTATTGTGGGTTTTTTTTTTAACTTTTGAAAACTAAAAATATAGACCTAGATCTACTACAAGAACAGACTTAATGTCTTCAGGTGATATTTTTATTAATGTGCACCTGAGAACTTGCTTTTTTAAGTTTAAAATATTGAAGAATTTAAATAAGCATTTTAAAATGTAGCAGAGAAATTTTGTATTTTATTTTGAAGATGTCTCCAGACTTCCTACCGTCCATAAGGTGTGTGGACGTGTGTTTTACCTACTGTGTGCATCAATAAAACCAAGACTTACCTTTGGTTATTTGCTTCAAGGCCTAGGCTTCAACACTACTCCGTGAGGTTTCCCACAGTGCAGTTCTAGTTCTACATTGTACAAGTTGAGTTTTCTTTTAACTTTCCATACAATTCATTACTACCTTTTTTCAGGTTTATCGTTTAAGAATATGGGCTTTTTTTTTTTTTCCCTTATCAGTTCGGCCTTGTAAAACAAAAAATTAATTTAATAGCAAGAATCAATAAATTCGTTTGTGTGTGTTGTTTTTACTATTTGCAACATTGATAGGCTTTATCGGGTTGTTCCGTTTTTATCTCGTGTTTCCGATAGTTTCAATCGCGCTGCTCGAATCCCTCGGTTTTCCAAACACAGCCCAACTATTGGCAAACTCACACCAACACGAGTGACCGGCCTTGTATCAAACGTCGAGAGCCGGGTAAATCAAAGACCACTGTTGGCCAATTACCAGCTGTTTGTATTGGCGCATGCGCGGTGGACTACCGTTTGCGACAAGATAACTCTGACAGTTTTCCGATTGCGTCTGTTGTTTGCATTCAGTAGTGGGCTTGGGGAAACCTTATGATAATAACAACGGATCATTTAATTACAAAAACAAACAAAAAAACCTAATCAAATAAATGGTGCTGGTACTGTTTTATTGTAGATAGGCTAAATATCGTGTGTCTAGCTATACAGCTATATGATCGTCATAAACACCAGTAATGACATACACTGTACTCGTCCTAATTAGATAGCATGTTTTAGCTTACATTGATTATAATGAAGTTGACAGTACAAAAGGGTATTGATAAATAGGACAAGGGGATACAAGTTTCAACGTTGAAGTAGGGATCTATTGTTATTAATGTCACCTGCGCTAATAAAACGTTAACAGCCTTGGACATACCAAAGTTCATAAGGTTGTTAGACAATTGCAGGATCTAAAATCTTGTTCAGTTTCTTCCATGCATCTCTTCGGGGAAAGTCTACCCCCCCCCCCCCACAACGAAATGAAATTTATATAGAAAATATATACTTTTAACAAAGTGTCCGCCCCCCCCCCCCCCCGAAAAAAGTCTACCGCCCCCCCCCCCCCCCCCCCCCCGAGAAAGAAGTCTGGATGAAACACTGATCTTGTTTCAGTGAAAATATACCATGACAGAACGAATTCTAAAGATAGGTGAAGAGTACAGAGATATAGGTAGAGAAATGAAAGTAATTACAACAGAAGAAGCAATGGTAGTCTAAATCATTGGTTGTAGATATTCATCAAATTAATGGACCAGAAGTTTTAGAAATAAAAATATAAGGAGGGCGTCGGAGTAAAAATTATATCAAGGGAAACAACTAAATCTAAATTTGTTCGACAATAGCAAGCAAAGTTGTGCTTCTTTAATTTAAATTTTAAATAAATAAAATTTGTAGGCTTGAAACGTTTATTAACATTTTTGTCGCGGTGGCTTGCAAGCAGTAGCGTAGCGAGGGGGGGGCGGGGGGGGGGGGACATATGTCCCCGGGCGCCGACCTTAGGGGGGGCGCCAAATTGAAAGTTTGAGGGGGGGTGCAAATGAAAAGTTCGAGGGGGGGTGCAAATCGAAAGTTTGAGGGGGGGGGGGTGCAAATGAAAAGTTCGAGGGGGGGGGGGTGCAAATCGAAAGTTTGAGGGGGGGGGGTGCAAATGAAAAGTTCGAGGGGGGGGGGGTGCAAATCGAAAATTTGCTCCCAAGGGGGCGCCAAATTGAAAGTATGTCCCCGGGCGCCGGGAAGGGTCGCTACGCCTCTGCTTGCAAGTCTAATAATTATTCTGTTTTAATATTGTCCACCCTTAATATTTTTCCAGCTTAATTCTTTAAATTATATATTTTAATGCCACAACAATTTTTTTTTATTTTATATTTTAATTTTACAAGCAATTAAATATTTTTAAAATGTGAATTTGACTTTCAGCTATCGAAAAAATGTTAAAAATGCTAGTATAAACTAAAAGGTGAGAAACGGGAGATAACCAGTTTTTTAAAGTAACCCTAAGATTAAAAAACCTGAAGAAGAAAAAAATTAGCCATAAGACACTACATATATAAAAAAGAATATATGAAATTTTTAAATTAGATTTTTAGTTAAGATTTATATCTAGCTGTTAACAAATATTTAAAACGTAAGTAAAATTTAGTTATGCTTTGTAAGAGGGCTGAATTTATTTTAAAAAAAATCAAAGTCCAACTCATCTATATTATTATAGTCTTTTACGCTCATTTTTTATTTATCACATAAATATACAAATCATACAGTCATATTTTGGTATCTAAAATAAAGGTATTTCATAAAAGTCTTTTGTAATCTAAGGCAATCAAATAGACATGTCTATGAATCAATTTCAATACTTGATACAGTGTCATGCAACATTTTTCTGAGATCCAATAAATCGGAATCACATCTTTTTTTTACTAATGTAGTATAGCTGCTATATAAGGGCCCGTGTTTCTAAGAACTCCAGATGACAGAGGCTGTCCATAACTGAGTTGACAGACGTTAAATATCAGATGAGGAATGGTCATAAAGTTCGTGGACCGAAACAGTTTGAAAGATTTTTTTTTTAATTTTTTTTATTTTTTTGTTGTTGGTGAAGATGACGCAAAAATATTTAATATACCTATATTATAATATCATGTCAAATCTGCTTGCACAGATCTTAACAGAAGAAATAATATGGAACTAAATGTCCAAATGTTGAAATCATTGAAGCAGCAGGCATTGTGGTTATTAATATATACGTGGTTTATCTCATTAAAAAAACACAAATGTACATTTTCTAGCGTGAGTGACGACAGACCATATACACAGATAGTAAGTACATTCAGCATTCGCTGGGCACATGGTTTTAATAATTATCGTAAATTAAGCTGTTGAATGGTGGAATTAAGCCCTGTTTCTATATCGTCTTGTGTTGTTTCACTATCTGTTGAGTGATTTAAGACACTCTCCTTCAAAATTACCCTATTTAAACTGTTGATGTATTCCCGTTGTCTGTCTTCTAACTCAGCTCTTTTATGTAAAATACTGTGCTGTTTTTGATGAACTAGTTTTTTTATGAATATCCAAAAGTTCTTATCGTTTGGATTAAATGTTTTTAGAGATCTCAGCATTATGGGCAGATCTATATTCTTTTGGGTCGAGATTATGTACATCCGCCACGAGCCGCCATTTTTTAGCATCTCGATTAAACACGCATGCGCCGTGAACACACTCTCTATTTCATCTCGCGATCTCTTATGAAAGAACAATAACACAAAAGTTGCGTTTCTCACCGCATAGTCTAAGGCGTCAAATTGGTGAGAAGGGCAAATAAAGTCCTGAAAAACCTCTGTATTTAAGCCACCTTTGATAAACGATGCTGTATTGGCGTCAAAATTGTCCTTGAATTCTCTTGCCTTAGTCAAATCAGCATCTTGCGTGATAATAACGGCATCTATGAAAGTCATTAAGTGTTCGGGATAGACCGGCTGATTTAAGTCCAAGCTAGAATTTTTCAACCTCTCGACAGGATGAAGTGTGTCCAAGTTAGCATCTCCTGTCTCTTCATCTGTAATATAATAGTTATATGGAATAATCTTTCTATCAGATAATCTTTCAGTCTTTGATAATAATGTTGACATATAAATAAGACAGTTTGGCTAGGATGTTGTTAGTAAAAGGTAGAGAACGAATCTATTCCAAACAGTATTTCTTCCACACTTTTTTCTCCCGGGGGGGGGGGGGGGGCTGGTCAACATTTTCCGAGGGGGAGGGGGGGCGGACACTGGCAAAAGTATATATTTTCTATATAAATTCCATTTCGTTCGGGGGGCGGTATACTTTCTTCGGGGAGCCCCTCCCCTCCCCCCCTCCCCCCCCCCCCTGAAGAGATGCCTAGAAGAAACTCAGATTCCAAAATATAATTTTCACACTTTGTCCAGAAAATATTTTTTAAATGTTTGTTTGTGAGGTGATAGATAATGAGTCGGTTTTTTTTTTTGGTTTTTTTAAATTTAATTAATCACAAACATTCACCGGGGGATCTTTTAACCGGCAGTTGACTTAAATCTTTGTCGAGTAAAGGTGGTTGGGCATTCTTTTAAATATATTGCCCTAAATTGTTGAAACCTGTAGGATTTTGTTTATCACAACACAGCATTTACCAACACTTACCTATCCTTCTAGGCCTTACATAATCATACATCGTACTACAGGTACCGTCTCAAAATTCCACCACAGTCCTCATGTCGTTTAGCCACACTTGACTGAACACATGGTGGCCTGACTTAGGCCTCTGTAAGATGTGAGGCCACCCTCCCCCCTCCCCCGCCTTCTCTGTACCACCCCTTATGCCTAAAGTTACCTCATAATTTTTCCTTTCTTTTCATATACACAACCTCATAGTGTAAAAAAAAAGTAAGAGAAAAACAAGTCAGTGGACATACCAGAAGCAGGTTCTGCATCAATCACAATATCACTATCAGCACAGCCGGCCATATTGGTTTCTGAAAAGAACAAGAAATTGTCAGTGATACCATATGTAGCTACATTGGATAGATCTAGATCTACATTGTATTTATTAATAGACATCCATTGATGACATAGCATAAACGTTTTTCTTATATAGTACTAACAGTTAAGAACGTTGTGTTTTGTTAATTTTTGCCTTTAGTTTTTACTTTGTAAGATGTAATATCGGGAATTTCCCAAAAAGTTTTTGGCATGCTGTTACACAGATCTGCAACGTCTGGGAAACTTCTAGGTGTGCGACTTATCACTTCTCTACCTTAGGCTTTATACATGGAACTTCTTCTTCTTCGTTATTAATTCTGGTGTTGGAAGAGATTCCCTCCAACACAATTCAGTAGTACGTGTCAACTTGTTATGCTCCATATAGGCCCTTTGCTCCGATTTCTTTTTGAGTTTGATTCTAAAGCCTTTGTTCAATCAAAAAAAAACTGCAATGTGGCAGTTGTTAGATTTTGGAGTTGAGAGGCTGACCCCAGCCATCAAGCCTTATCTGCCCGGGGGTCAAATTCTGGACAATTCGGTTCAGCAACCATGAGCTCAACCGACCCGACTACACCGACTTATTATACATGGAACAAATTCAAGGAAATTTCTATGAGTACGGCTTATCTTTTCTACCTGAGGCTTTATCGCCATCACCTTTTCCCGTGAGTGCCTAAGACACATGGAGCATGTGAATTAGAGTTCATCTGTTGTAATGACTTCAGTATATGAAGGGGCAGTATGGCCAGCTTTATGTCCAGCCGCCTTAGTTTCCCTAATGTGAGTCAGGTACTCTATATGGACACCCTACTCATTCTAACTCGTGATTCGAACTAGAGATTTTCGGGTTATTTACGTTTAACCACACATGCGGCATACTAAAAAGCGTAAAGAGAGTTGGTTATGCATTATGCACTCGTGATTAAAAACATTACTTAATCAAAGAGGATTTAAATAGTAACTAATGAAACATTTATTTTAGTTAACAATTTAAAATGATTCTATAAATATTGCCACTAGTAATGCAAGTAGCGTCTCTTTATTTTTAGTCAAATAATAAGAAATATATAACTGTGTAGTGCACTTTACCAGTAGGTGAAGCTCCTCCATCAGCAGAGAGATCATAGAAAGTTTCATTCTTAGTATCCAGGTGATGTATCACAGCGTTTATTAAAGTTAAATCTTCGCTTTTTGTTTTCAGATAGGTGAGACGATCCATGTATAATTTCTTATCTCTTTCGTCTAATTTCTTGGTATTATTTTCTAACAATTTTTTAATTGATTCAAAAAATGTTGCATCATGTTTATTCCCATTCAGATATTTCAGTCTTCGAAGAGATCTCATTAATGCCGGTAATTCACAACGAACAGTTCCAACTATTACCGGAATAAAAATCAAACTCTTATTTTTAATAGCTTCTTGTAAAAACACATGGCTTAGAAAAGTACATTTAGAAAAGTTTTGAGTGATGTACACTAGGACAACCAGCACTTTGCTCAAAGCAACATCCAAGTTTTGCTGGCCGATTTCGTTTAGCACCATGTAGTCGCTCATCACTTCTACCATAGGTTTCCTCACGCTGTCTTTATTCTTATAGCATGCGTGTTTTTGCAACTGCTTTTTCATATTTCTACACTCACTATTATCTTCGTCTGCATTTAAAATAAGAATTTCAAAATTGTTTTCCTTCAAATTTTGAGGTAATTCTGCTAATTGTTTTATAACATCACCTGCCCGGACAATTGAAGATACGTTTTTCTGAGGATCCGGTAGATTTGTTGGCACGATTGTTGTTAGGCTTGTTGGTTTGTCAATAACTATATCTGGTGGAGTTATTATAGCTGGTTCTGTAACACCAGATTGTGAACTTGGAGCAGGGAACTGAGATAAATTTTTGTTGGGGCTGAGAGAATCGTCAATTTGGTGCATGTTGAGGTCTGTGTCGGCCAACATCAAACTGGCCGATTGGTCCTATAATGGAGTTGCAAAAACTAGTTTAGTTGCATTTTATCAGTAAACTTTTAACGAACTGTAAACAAATAACGTAACGCTTTTTTTTTAAAATGGAGGGATTAATGGTTTTGACTGAGACCTCTCCCTTACAAGAGTCTTTCGGTATCATCGAGATTATTCTTTAAATTTGTGCACTGAGCTCATTTCATTACATAAAAATTTAACTCATTGTGCGCGTGTGTGCGTGCGTTTTGTATATATACACACATATACAATAAATAAATGAGGTTTCCATCCCTATGGATTTTATAACACTAGTTTCGATGACGTTTGGAATTTGCTGTGTAGATAGTGTAGTACAGTCACCACCAGCACGCGACACATCATGCGAGATGTTTACCCTGGAGCAAAGGTGGAGACAAGTGGTGAGAACTTTCCGAAAAAATAAACTGGCCCAAAATAACCAAGTGGTTGGAGGGGAGGGGGTATTTTATTTTCTTATATTAATTTTTGTAATAATTTTTTCCGTAATATATGTAAGATCCGTTGGGTCATTGGAAGTGTTGCCTTCACCTTTCCAATTTAGGATAATTATGATCAAGTTATCATTTTCAGCTTTTACAGATATTCCTTGGGTTTTAATGTTCTTCATTATTTTCCTAGTAAAATAATCCAATGTCTTAAGATCTTTTAATCCCGCAGCAGTTTCTCCTCAATGTATATCCTCTTGTTGTTTCTCCATTCCTCTGTATTGATTAGCAATTTTTTTTTAAATTCTAGTTGATAATCAGTTTTTTCCTCTATTTGTTTCCACGTTATCCATCACTTTCCTTTACTTTCTTGTCTGTAGTTTGTGATATAAATCTTATTTATCTTCAGAAACAACCCCTGGGGTATATGCCCCTTTAGCAAATAATGTAGCAAGTTTTGAATTTTCGTTGATTGGTTTCCTTTTGAACAGAGATTTAGCCGCTCCATTATTAACAATGAGAGAAAGTCCTTCCAGACTTTTTTCTCCGTTTCTCCGGGGGGGGGGGGGGGGGGGAATTGATATTTTCGGCGGGGGGGGGGGGGGGGGGGGGCGGACACTGGTAAAAGTATATGTTTTCTATATAAAAATGCGATTTCGTTCGGGGAGGGTGGGGGGCAGTAGATGCCTGGAAGCTCTTGTCTACCTGACCATATCATCTTTTGACCTGATCCTATTTTTGCAAGCCAGTACCTTCCCGCCTGTCTTCCACCACTCCAAAAACTGTATTGGTTCGTTTCTTTTCTAGCCTGGACCAACTTGCCTCATTGGTACAGTGTTCTAACTTTTCAACATCCTACTTGTATCATCTGACGTCAGAGCCGTCCACGGACTTGATCTCCACTCCTCATGTAAACAGTTGCCTAGTCCTTAACTCTACCGCAACCGTTTGAAATTTATTTCTGACTATTTTTTCATTATTTTTTAAATTAGAGTTACTAGCCTTAAGATAACCTTCTTCATCGTGTCATGGGACATATGATACTATAACAATCATATTCATTTAGGGGTCGTCCATAAATGACGTCACACTCGTAGGGGGGAGGGGGGTCCGTAATTTTGTGACGGTGTGTGATGAGGAGGAGGGGGTGGGGGGTGGTTTTTATAGTGCGACGTCACACTTTTGCATTATAAAAAAGCAATGTTAGAAAACGAATTTTAGACGTTATTTTGCGTTTTAGAAAACTTTTTTAATAAATTGTAATAACAATTGATTAAAATACTCTATTTTGACCGAGTTCAGACAAGATTTTGGAAAAATGTAGCTGTTTAAAAATATTTTCAACGCAATTTTGAGGGGGGGGGGGGGGTTGTGGGCTGAGGTGTGACGACGTGTGACGGAGTGGAGGGGTGGAGGTAAAAAGCGTTTAAAAAAAGCGTGACGTCATTTATGGATGACCCATTATCGTTTGGTAAACTACTTGAGAGTTAGTTTATTGAAGAGCGGCAATAAATTATTACAAACAACAAACTTTAATCTCTAAATCTCATAGATTAAATTAGTTAAATTAGGCCTAGTCTTCTTTTAAGTAGGCCTAGTCCAGTTCTATGAGCGACATACCTCTAGTTAAATAAGGAAAGCTTGGTCGGACTTGCACACACCTGTATTTCTACGTAGTCTAAAAAAAACAACATGTTTTTCCGTGACAAAACATTAATGGACAATTTTTAGTCGTTGAATCATTCTGGATACCTACGACAAACCAGTCGTTCATGACATTTTAATTTAATATTGGGAATTTCCAAAGTATTATAAGCTTTCAGAAATTCCGTCATTGTCGATTACTCATGTTGTGATGTCATTTTATAACTTAAATTTTTAAAAATATTTTAAATAATTTTTCTTATTAACCATTTCGCTGTATAAGATCAGACGTGCCTTGGCTTACATTATTGAGTGTTTCTTTCAGACATTTTTCTCCAGGGGACACATGAATCTTTGGTGGGGGACGCACTTCAATTTCTGGGAGGGTGGAAGAGCTGGGCATAGTTTAGTAATAGCCTAAATCTTTTTCTCTATATTAAATATACTATTTCTATTTCGTTCGTTTGAGGCCAATATTTCAGCAACCTGCTCCTGTTGACAGTTTTCTGAAAGGCAGTATGAATAATTTATTCAGAATGATAGCTAGGGCTCATCCAAAAATGACGTTACGCTTTTTTTTTGAGGATTGTTACCTCCCCTTCGTCACAAAAAGCCAGACCCCCCCCCCTTCAAATGACTACACACCTATGCCTACAACCCCCCCCCCCCCCCCTCCTCCTCAAATTTGCAGTTGCATTTTTCTTAAAATACGTTATTTTTCCAAAATCTTGTCTGAACTCTGTCAACATAGAGTATTTTAATCAATTCCTATTACAATTTATTATAAGTTCTCTAAAACGCGAAATAACGGCTAAATTAGTTTTCTAACATTGCTTTTTTTAATAATGCAAAAGTGTGACGTCACCACATCTGAACCCCCCCCCCCCTACCAGTGACGTCATTTATGGACGAAACCTATAAAACAAATGATCTTCCTGGAGATCAAGAACCCTTATGTTAACCATACATCCCTTATTTAAATAAGTATTTTTAAAAATTTAAAATGCAGTATACCCCACCATTATTATCTTTTTTTTCCAAACCATAAGCCTGCATTTAAAAGGCATAATAATTTTTGATCTTAGCAATAGAGTAAAATAACTTAGAAAAGAAAAACTAAAATTAGTAGTTTTATATTTATTTCAAATATCATTTATGTAAATGTTCACAGTTCATTTATGTATGGCACAGACAATGAATACAGCACTTCATGTTAACATAATACACTGGTATCAAGATAAATACTTTCAAAAATCTATACATTAGGCCAGACTTTTTATTTAGCTGTGTGTAACATTAATCATATGTTAATTAGACATCATCAACAAATGGGAAAACAATGTGAGCAGCTTCAGACCATAACAACACAATGCTAGGACAGTGGAGTAGATATGCCATTCGCAGAATTATTTATACACATGGTTATTCAAATTATTGCAGGTGGAGTTCTGCAATAAAATACCTGGCATAGGTGCTATAAGCTAAACATGCCAGGGAAATGTGCTCCTGTCTCTATAAGGCAAGAGTACAGTGATGTTTTTAATTTAATAAATTATCCAACAATTTAAACATGTGTCCATGAAATTAAGTGGTCAGTAACTATGTTGACCTTTGTATTAAGATGTGTCTTTTCACTAAAACTGTTGAAATATTTACTTTAAGAGTAAAAACAACAAAATACATCAAAATACATTATCAAGCACTTTAGAAATAGTGTTTTTGCATGTAAAATTGAGACAAAAGTTTTGCAATAAAAATTAAAACTTTTCTAAAACAATTATATCAAGAGGCCATTAAATTCTCACAAGATTAAAACCATTCACCTGTATTAGAAGAAGTAATAGCAGCCAAACTCAACGTAATAGTAACAACTATACTTATTAAGTTTAAGACCTGTCATTTTGATTTCGTTCACACCATATCTGTATGAAACTAAAACAAAACAGGTCGAGGATGACTACCCTACTTCAGACACCTCCAACAACAAGCAGGATAAAGCAAATACATTTACACTAATGTATATGGATATAGGTATGAAAGTACAAAGTGAATCAATCACATCAGCTAAACTGATCACAAATTCCTATCACATTTTACAATTACATTTTTCATCAACAGAAAAATTTCTTAAAATCAGGGGTCTCCAAACTACGGCCCGCGGGCCGGATGCGGCCCGCGAGGTCCTCTCATCCGGCCCGCGGAGATCTTTTTGTCCACGGAAAATACGTTTGTAGGTGATGGCTGAGGAACTTTGCCCAGAAAATCAAAGACATGCCTGGAAGAAACTGGCCCCCGAACTGAAATTTGTTAGTTAATGCGGCCCTCGGACTGAAAAGTTTGGAGACCCCTGCTTAAAATCATATAAACAGTGTAAACTTTCGTATTTTATATATAATAGTTTTTAAAACAAAAAGGTAGATTTCTGTATATACATATCAAAATATATTTTTTCCATTTAAAAATAATGACTAAAATTCTACTTAAAAATAAAATAAACAAATGTTTTTTTTTTTGTTGGACATTTCCAAGAAGAACAAGTTTATAATTGTGATACAGCATCTTAATCAGAACAGCTTTGCATAACTATTAAATCTGCTATGAGTGACCATTAACAATGTGTGATGCACCAGTTACAGTCAAAATGAAAAATTCTATGATTATATAAAGAGAGAAGCCTACCTTTACTACAATCTACGGATGCTACAGACAGGTATAAACCAGAAAATCATTCAGGTTCAAATTTCATAGTAAAAATATTTATTAATTACAAACATTAGAAGAATTACAAAATCAGATATTATGATTGTTACATAAACAGCATATAAATTAAAAATAAAGTATACCAAAGAGACAAAACTTTGAAAGACATTTTAAAGTACTTTATAATAAGAGTTGCACTTGTACTGATACCAGAGGTGTCTATTGGGTTAACAGTTTGTACATAGATTTGATAAAATACCTAAACACAAACATAGGAGAATGCATAAATTAAACATTAAAAAATGAAACTCCTAACAACACTAAAAAAATGTAAAAGCAAACAAGATGTAGATGTAGTTTCACTAAAGAGATTCATAAATAACCTAGGAAAAGGAAGCATTGATTTCTTATTGCCAAAGTTGTAGATTACAATAGACAATGACTGCAGGATGGGAGTAATGAAAATTCTTTTTTTATAGTTAACTGATTAGGAAGATAACTGAATCAACAGAGAGAAACACGCAAAATAGTGGAATGTCATCTGTATTACACCACTTATTGTACTGAATTTTTCTTTGAGATAAACAGTAAAATACATCAATTTATGAAATAAATTTCTTAACAAAAGTTTGGCGGCTTAAATCATCAATACCCTGTTCCACTGCCAGTTCTGAGTCCTCTACTGGATCTTTGATGCTTGGAGGGACAGAAATTTCAGCAAAACCCATTGGATGACTCACTGCTTCATTGGCTGAGTTTACTGCTGGTGGAGTTGTCACTTGAGATGCTTGAAGAACAAAAAAGTTTTAATTAGGCACAATTGATTTAACGAAACTACTATGAAGCTAGACCGTGATTGGGGGGGGGGGGGGGGGGGGCGGCGGCGCTAAACTGCTTCCAGGGTAAAAAATTTGACAAACATTTTCTTTGCGTCTTCATAGACTAGTGGTTTTGTAAATTTAAAAAACAAACAGAACTCTACAGCAGTGAATGTTCTACAGTGACTAGATCTAACACATGCTGTTGCATAGGAAAAACAATAAAACCACAACAGCTGAAGTCTAAAAGATAGACAAACCTTCAAGACAATAACATGACTTATTGTTCCTTTTTAAATAGTCTAATAGGGGTGCCCAAAAGGCTCATTTACAATAGTTTTAAAATAAGCAAATTAAAAAGCAATTTCTTCTCTTAATGATTATTAAAATACGGCATACTAAAGACGACAGCTATAAAAAGGAACCAATTTAAAATGTAATAATATAAATTAAAAAAAAAAAAATTACAAAATACAAACATGGGAAACCATTACAATTTTTACATATTGAGCTTCAGTAATTAGTTTATTTTTTAGACAGCCTAGCCGGAGTGAAGTTTTGTGGCGGGCATAAAAGAAAAAAAAAAGATGTCTTTTCTAGTTCTGCCTCTGCTTGGGCCATACACATTCTAGATTTATTAGTGTACCAAGCCTATTTGTTACAATTGTCAACTGAGCACACACTAATGTTTAATAGTAGCATCAAAAACCAAATTTACTTTTCAGACTTTAAAACAGAAAAAAAAAAAGAAAAACTCTATCACCAACCTCTAGCTCCATCAGCAGATGGTACACTCTGGTTCTGGTGACTGGCATTAGGTTTGGGTGTTCTATACAAGAAAAACTGACATTTCATTTGGACATCATGTTAAATGACACAATACAATAAAAATATAAATGTATAGATATAATCTATAAATCTAATTGACAGAAAGTGTAAACAACTAGTTACAAATACCTTTCAGTATTTGTTGGCCCAAGGCTAGAATCTGCTGTAGTGACAGTGATATCAGTCTCATCATCATCATCATCATCATTTGGTGATGTTGTGGCAGCATATTTGATAAACTTTGACTGGTCCCCAATGACCAAATTAGTAGCATTCTGTACTGTAATTTCTTTCTTGTGATGATGATGATGGTGTATGTGCTGCACCACTGCTTCACCTGAACCACTGGGACTCTGGTTTGTGAATTGTCCTGTTTCCCTCTCTCCTCCTGAAGCTACAGTACTGGGATTTTCTCTAGAGGGCAGACCAGACACTGTGCTGTTTGCTGTTTGAGGTGGCTGCACTTGGTATGGAGGATTATTTGGAAGTTGATGCTGCATACTGTATGTATAAGGGTTGTAGCTCATGTAATAAGGTGGTAAAAAAGATGGGAAGTGTGAACTTGTAAGAGGGTTTGAAACATTCACATCCATAGAACTAAAAGAGTTATCTGACATAGAGTGAGGACCTTGATGCTGAGCTGCAGTGTTAGGCACTGAATGTTGAGGAGCAGGATAAGGTTGCTGTGGGGCAAAATGGTGTGCTTGTTGAAAACCAGGATTAGGTCCTGATGGTTGAGAAACAGGATAAGGGATATAATATTGTGGAACCGGCACAGGAAATGATGGGGGTGGATAAATGGGTGAATAATGTGAAGGATAATAAGGGTAATATGGAACATGGGGGGGATAGTTCATTGGAGTTGGTCTGTGTTCACGAGGTGAGACGTTTTGTGGAAAACCTGACACATATGTTGTACTATTGGCCATTGGCACATTTCTTGATGGTCTGGGATCTGTTTCACTGTTTATATTACTGGGCCCATCAATGGTAATGGATTGAGAAGCTGTAGCAGCACCCAGACTGGACATATTAGTTGAGAGTGATGGATTGATAATGCAGAATCTTGAATCTTCTTGAGAAGTTGTAGACATGTTCACAGGTTCTATTACACTAGGTCCATCAGCGGTAATGGACTGAGAACCAAAACCAGCATCGCGGCTAGGCAATAAAGGGGTAGACATATTAGAAGAGAGTGAAGGATTTGTAACACTGAGTCTTGAGCTGTCCTGAGAAGTTCCTTGTTGCTGAATGGTTGCCGTCTCAGTGCGAATACTAATATTTAATGAATTCTGTTCAGAAATAGTTTCAGATTGTCTCTCTGATTCTACTGAGCAATCAGGTGATGAATTGTTCTGAGGTTCTACTACACAAGGTCCATCAACTGTAATGGATTGATAAGCTGTAGCAGCTTCCACAGTGGGCAATGAAATAGATGGCTTGTTTTCTGGTTCCATTTCACCAGAGAAATGACTAATACTATTCTCTACAATATCAGAGGTTTTATTAGAGTGACCACCTAGGCCAAGATTTCTAAACAGTCCTGACACATGAGAACTACTCGTTTTACCACTAGATGCACTACTACAGGTTAAGGAAGTGACAGTTTGAACTTTCTGTGGTTGCTCATCCTCTGCTTGTGCTGGATATTTTCTTTGAATGGGTGAAGCTGAAGTTGCATAATTTGTTTTTGAACGATTGCTTAACTGTAAAAGCTTTTGTCTATTTGCGTTAAAATATTCCAATCTTTGTTTTTGTAAAGTAATATCTCTTTCTAGAAGAAGCCTTATTCTAGAATCTAACAATTTTCTCACACCTTCAGAGTAAAACTGATCAATATCGTCAACCCAGTAGTTGATGGGTCTTAAGCTTCCAAGCATCATGGGAAGCTTATAGTCTTGATTTTTACGTGATTTTGTGTGAACAGGGATCACACACCATTTTTTTTCCTTGTCCTGTATGGCCTCTACTAAACAGGCCTGGCCTTTGAGTAAACTCCAGGTACAGCTACAAAACTCTTTGGTTACATAAAGGAACACATACAAAGTTTTACTAAAAGCAAAATCCAAATATTCCAGAGATGATCCAATGCGAAAATCTTCTAAAAGTTTAACTCGTGGCTGTAAGGTCATGCCATTAACATGCACAATAATGTCCTTTTCTAAGTGTTTTTTAAATGACCTTGCAGCATTACTATCATTTTCAGCATTTATGATTAAAATATCTATATTATCCTCTCGCAATTCATCAGGAAACAGAAAAAGATATCTTAAATATTCAGGATCATCACTACTTGAAATAGGTCTAGCTGACTGCAAATATGCTGTGCTCCTTAAGGCAGATGAACTGTTCACACTTGAATTTTCCTGCTCGATTTCTAGGGGGAAAATTATACAATTTTAGAAAATACAATTGTTTAATAGTAAATATAGTATATATAAGCTAAATATTTACATCCCTAATAGCAAAGCAATTACATTTTAATTATAAAATTACTGCAGTAAACTTTATAAAATGTGAGACATGTATAAATAAAAAAGTGTACCTGGACGAGCATCTGGTTCTATATCTGAATGACTGGTAACTGAAGCCATACTGAATTTTACATCCAAACCATTATTTTTTTTTTAAACTTCTTCGCTTTCTGGACTAAACACCTTACTGCTACACCTTGTGTTTTAATCATAAAAAGTAATTTTACACTATTATAAACATTTTATGTAAAAAATTATCAACTAATAAAATGCTTTAGGCTACTAGTGTTAATTAGCATAGAAACTATAAACATTAAAGGCTGAGTGTGCTGAGGAAAATTAAATGTATCAGTTAAACTTAGATCCATTGAACATTTTTTAATGAAATGAAACCATTGAAATCAACAGTGATAGAGGAAGGTGCCAAAAAACATCCTGGAAATCAAAACAATGGGAAAAACTAGGCCGTTTGGTTCATCTACTTTCGATTTCAATGTTTATATTATCCTCGTTTAGGAAGCACTTTCCAAAAAGGCTTCAATATCCTGTCCCTTGTAGTACTGAGTTGTTAAAAATGAGAATTTCATAGTCATCGCTTTATAGTATTATATTAATTTAAATAGGCCTAGTAGTGTATAATTTATTTTCTACTTTTTAGTGCATTATTACATAAAAGCTTGTTATTAAAACATTTTTTATGAATTTTTTTTTTAATTAACATTAGGAAATAACCTTTCAAACTATTTAATTTACCATAAATTAAAACTTATTAGTATGCAAAACCAAATCTTGTGTGCCCGGTATCAGAAAGTAATGGGAGTTTTCAGGTCATGTTTTTACTGCAAACTCGGACAATAACGACAACCCTAATAAGGTAAAACTCCATTTTAGCCTATTTTATTCCCCCGCTTCATGTTAACCTCCAGTTGAGCGCATTTAGCTAGCTTACAGTAACCTAACACCCTTTTTTAAAGAAGATTCCATTATCAGACACCAGTGTAAATAATAAATGGGCCGATGCTAGCCAGAATAAGATACGCATGCGCAATGGAGAGAAACTATGACTTGTCATCGCGGCGATGTTTTCGATGGTACTGCGCATGTGTGTGTTTACAACCGTAGAACCCTAACATAGCCTAACAGTTAACACCAACACTAATCCTATACCTATCCCTAATCCTATCCCTAACCCTATCCCTAATCCTATCCCTAACCCTCATTCTAGCCCTAACCCTAGCCATAGGTCACTGCACATGCGAGGAGCTATCTTTTGCCGACTAAGTGGAGACGTTGGGGAGAAAAATCTTCTTCCGAGTAGTCACTTCGTAATAAATATTCTCCCAAATTTTCTAACACTCTCTTTTTCTAAACACCAACTAATCTAACATTCACTTTCTACATCTACAACAACCTATAACACTACACTACACCTGGGCTCAGTGTGCTGTTTTGAAGTGTTTTGGGAAGAGCCTGACTCCGTCAAATGTCAAAGAATTGACGGACAGACGAGACATGGAATGGATTTTCTAGACCTAGACTAGATTACTAAGATTAGATTACTAAGAATTATAGACTATATCTAGATCTATGTATATACCAATACTCCTATCAGGTTATAATAGTAGATCTAATATAATTAAACATACAGTCATACAATTTTGTAGAGACTTTTGGCCTGTGTACTGGCTGTGTAGTCTAGTAAATAAATAGAAATCTACTAGGCATACTCTAGCATCCGCTGGGTAGACATTTTCTTAAAAACTGGTAATCGACTTTGCGATTACAAAATAGATCTATTTTTCTAGATCTAGATCTATTTTTTGTTAATATATTATTATAATTTTAGTCTGGATATTGGTATTATTTATATCTATATCTTAAATTTTGCTCTACAGTGGCGAATTCAAAATTAATGTCTTAACTATTAATGGTCAATAATATTTTATTACTGTCTCGCGTTTACTAAGTTAGTTTTAAAACAACGACTACTAGATCTAAACCAGTATCCGAGTTTTCATAACAAAAAAAGCCTTTCGGAAACACCTAAAAATTCCGAAACTCAGAAAATTCTATATTTGCGAATCAAAACAAGATTTATAAAATTTAAAAAAAAACATTAATTTTAAGCTTATTTTGAGAAAACATACATTTTTCATTAGATTTTTTTAACATGTTCAACCCATATCTCTGCCACAAATTGTCAACTGACAACTGTTGTCTCTCCCACCTATGGCATCACCAATGATAATCAATGCAGTTAGCTTTCTGTACAGCAGTTTCTTACCTCAACCTTAATAATAATATGATAAAAATATAAAATCTCCAGATGATATTGATAAAACAGTATAAGTAAGTTACTAGATCTAGAACAAAATCTAAATGAGCTTGTGAATGGACTTTTTGCTGTTGCACTGGAAATGTAATCTGTGGTTTCTTCCCTTTTAAGTAAAAAGATTATAATAGGCCTATATACAATACAATAATGTTAATATAGTTGAATAAAGATCTAGTTATATAGAATCTTTTCATGGACACTAAGGCAAAGGTTGTTAAAGCTTATCCTGCAGCAATTATGATTGGGCATGGAAATCCACTTCTGTTACAAACTATTTTATGTTGGGGTGGTAGACATTTGATTCCTCAGATAAGTCTTTATGAGTTGACTAAGATGATACTCAGATGGTTAAAAGTTGGGTATAATTGTTATTTTTAGGAGAATGAAAGGACACAGAACAATTATTAGAAGAATGAATTTGGAGAACTCACGGAAGACTGGAGTTTTTTTTTTTAAAATTGTGAATCCACAAGAATGCCTTAGAAGCAAGAAACTAGATAAATTGACTGTGTAGACCACTGGTTCCCAACCTGGGGGTCGCTACCCCCCTGGGGGTCGCGAAGGGCTTTCTGGGGGGTCGCCAACTGGTATAATAAACCTTAGTAATTTGAAACAAAACATAAATATTTAGAAGAATTTTTAAAATTCGGCTTTACTAAAATCACTGGAAAGGGAATAGAGAAGAAGCAAAGCGTACTGTACAAAGTTTTTCTCAGTCACGAGTTTATGATATGGAGTTCTTTCGTCGGTATGAAGCTAGTTGCAAACGTCAGAAGAATCTGCATTGACGCATTATCTATTCTCTTCTTTCCTCGATGTTGCCAGCATTCACGATGAATTACAAGATGAATTCTTTGATTTGTAGAATGATTGCGTGTAAGATAAAAAACTGCACACTCAATTTTGGTGTAGTATTCACCATTCATACCCAAACGTAAAATTGATTGACTTTTCGAGAATAGATTTTCAACACTATTTTTCGATAAAAAAATAAAATTAAGATAATGATAATGACATAGATTGGCGTTAACAAAAAAAAAATGCTTTAAAAAAAATTAACCACGAATGTTTAGTGAATAGTATGCAGTTTTACTCATGGTATTAAAACAGTTATCAAGAGTAGTTCATATTGAAAGTCTACGAGAAAATGTTATTTTAGCAGTGGCGTAGCGAGGTCGGGTGTCACCCGGTGCGGCACTTAATGGTGTCCCCCCCCCAGAGGCGTAGCAACCCTTCCTGGAGACAAACTTTCAAATTTTCGATTTGCACCCCCCCCCCTCAAACTTTCGATTTGCACCCCCCCCCCTCAAGTTTTCGATTTGCACACCCCCCCCCCCTCGAACTTTTGATTTGCACCCCCCCCCCCTCAAGTTTTTCTCTATATATTTTCCTATTTTTTGCCTTGGTGTCACCCCCCTAAATGGTGTCACTCGGTGCGGTCCGCACCCCGCCCCCCCCCCCCCCCCCGCTCGCTACGCCCCTGTATTTTAGTGCTTATTGATTTCCATACTAAATTTCGGCTTTTTAATTCTATGGGGGTCGCGGGTCACTTAATTTTTATAAAAGGGGGTCGCCACTCGAAAAAGGTTGGGAACCACTGGTGTAGACAAACTAAATCCATTATCCTTTAAATTTACTTTTTCAACCCATTCTCTTTAAAGATTTGAAAAAAAAAACACACACACACAAAATGTTCAGCATTAGGGTTACACTTAAGCATTTAAGGTTGAACAGTTTTTTTCCTCTAAATTTACCCCTTATTTTTCCATTATTTGCTACAACAAAAGAGGATTTTATGTAGAAAATAGTCTTCAACTATATAAACAACAGGGACGGAGTGGTCTAGCGGTAGAGAGCTGGACTGCTAACCCGTAAGTCCCGAGTTCGAATCCGGGTTCAAATCAGTAGACCGTCCCTGAGTCCACCCAACTCTGATGGGTACCTAACTCACATTAGGGAAAGTAAAGGCGGCTGGGCATAGTGCTGACCACACTATCTCTTCATATGCCGAGGTCACAGAAACAAGTGAACTCTACTTCACTTGCCCCATAGACCGTCAGGTTTGAAAGGGAAACTTTACTTTACTTTATATAAACAACATATATGGGATTTTTTCCAGTCAGAATTGCTAAATTTAGGATCAGGGTTGCAATACTAGGCAACTTATTTTTAAATAACATGAACAGTCTGAAAAAAGTAATTACTACATTTAGTTAGTATTTTTATAAATGTTTATTTATTGTGTTTTTTTTTTACTTTAGAGAATTTCAAATTCATTGCATGCATCTTCAAACAGTCAACAAAACATTTAAATAAAGCATTCAAATAAAATTAAAGCAATGACAATCTTAGAAAAAAATAATCTAAGCTGTTAGCAAAAAAGGTGTTATGGATTTCAGTCTGTAATCAAAATATTGCATTAAATGAATTTAAAAAAAAAAACTAGTTTCATGTAGGCCAATGGCACACTAGCTCAATTATGAATGCAAACCTACTCTTAGATGTAAAAAAAAAGTCTTATTTATAACTGTTATATCCCAAGGCAGCGAAGTCTTCCACTTGTAAAAAAAGATGAAAATATAAAGCTCTCAAAATGTCTCGGAGTGTTGAAGGGTGAAATTTTTAAGTCCAAGGCTAGCTGTAATGTTTAATTTCATACAGCTACAGGTAATGATTAGGATGTGGTTATGCACACTAAATGCAAACTTAGAAGTGTAAAGAATGGAAAAAAAATAACAGGCAGATCCACGGTCAAATGTGGATTGTCAATAATTGATTGCTTTTTAAAATTAAAATAATTCAAACAATTCATTATACTTGTTCTAACTTGTTAAAATGTTCATCTTTTACAACAAATTAATATTAAAAACAATTAACAACATGGAAACAAACATCTAAGAACCATTTTAAACTTAAGACTTCATAAACATCCAACATTATTGTAAGAAACTAAAATAAAATTATGAACTAAAAAACGGATGCCTACAAAATTTAGAATTAGTACGACAATAATACACAATATAATTATTTTAATACAGTAAGATAAAAAATCATTTGAAGTTTTAAATAAATGTCACAAGTTAATAAATAAAGTATTTAGTAATCACAGACAGAAAATCAAGTTACTCTGCGCCTTTTAAAAAAATATTAAAAGCAGTTAAGTAAATAAAAAGAATATTTTATTGGAGGAATGAACACAATGCAATGGATAAATGAAACATTCTATTTTAAGTTAAGAAGCACTTAATGAGCAAAACAAAAAGCTATCTGCTGAGAGGTGTTCATAAAGGACATCACACACTAAAGAAAGGGGAGGGGATGGAGCTTTGTGACAATGGAGAATGGGTTCAGCTGAAGTGTGACTCCTTATGGTCTTAATATTTTTTACTAGGGAAGGAGAAAAAAACATATTTATGAACGACCCCTTACAGGTGATACAGGCAGGAAATATTTTTACCAGAGTGGAACTTTGAAAATAGTCTAGAGAGCACTGTCATGTAATAAACTTCAGATAAATATAATTTGTAGATCATCTCTTCTGTAAAATTAAAGTGGAGAATAGTCTAGAGAGCACTGTTATGTAATAAACTTCAGATAAATATAATTTGTAGATCATCTCTTCGGTAAAATTAAAGTGGTAGATCTGTTATAATTCAATAGAATGTATAATAGAAACAATAAATAATAAAATGTGTTTACATATTTACAGTATATGAGCATCATAAACTCTGCAGTACTTTAATACCTATGTTGTTAAGCAAGCACTATGAGGCCAATAGATAAAGTGTATTGTGCTTACTTGTAACTAAGCCTTCTTATAATAATAGGCTGTTAACAAACAATAAAAAGTGTACTAATCTCTTTTATCAACATCACTGCATTGTTTTACTTTTTTTTACCTCTTTTTTTCTGCACAGAACATCATCAGATTTTAACTCCAAAAACATATGTCTAACAGCAACTACAGCTGTATTAAAACTGTATGGTTATGATGTTCATGCATGTATTACACCCATTATGTATTAAAATGTATTGCATGAATGATAAAATGGCTTTCTAAAATTAAATGTCGGTTCAGCATTCAACTCCCAGAAAATCTTTTTTATTGATTGAATGAATTCATTAGCATGTCCACGATGATAGGAAAATAATGACATTGAACTTTCAAAAGAGATGCCAGGGTTTTTAAAAACACAATGCACAACCAAAAAGGTAAAAAAAATGTAACGCAAAATTATAAATGCATTTAAAATTTCTGAAATATGAATAAATGCATCATCAAATCTAAATATTTATGCTTTTATGATTAATTTTTATTAACTAAAAAACGAATGTGCAAAATCATTTTCTGACTGAAATGATTAATACTAATTTTTAACAAAACGTAATGGATTACTAGTGGTTATGATTACAAGCTACGGCTTGCTCATATGGTTAATCTAAATTATCACTGACCAATTTTCATGCTTCAAATTTCTCTCAGTTAAAAAACATAGTGAGACAGACATAAAAGCAGCTCAGAAAATCATAGTTGCATATTACAAGAATTAAAAATAAATGCATATTGTAGAGCATAAGCAAAACAAAAAATGTATAACAATATAATTCAGATACCATGGACATATTTACTGGTAACAGGTATTGCTCTTGTAAGACTTAAAATTGACATAACATGTAGGATTATATCATTGTTATAATGGATAAGTAACCCAAGATCCTCTGAGGAATATAATATTTGTCTTAAGAATGCTGAGATGCTTGAGTAGTTCAATTAATAATTTGTAACAAAGATAGAGATTTTCATGTCTAAAAAGGTATTTATATATATATATATATATATATATATATATATATATATATATATATATATATATATATATATATATATATATATATATATACTAAAACAGTGAAACAATCGTGTTGTATGACACCGGACAATATGTTTTAGTAAAACATGCATATTTTTTTCCCTAAGAAATAAACATTAATACACACTATTGCACTAAAACCTAAAGCTTTTAAATCATTTTGTCATATTAAAACATGAGTAGTGAACAGTCAAATAGGGTTACTTATTTACAAATCCCATCACCATTTAAAAGTGTAATTTTTGCAAAATGCAAATAACAAAAACTTACCAAACATACATTTTTTAAAGTAGAAAGATCTATTTGCAGATATGAGATAAAATAACCTTGTGGAAATAAAATAAACTATTAACACCACCAGATTATGCCTTAATTTTTAAAGCTTCTGGTTAGTCACACAGTAAAATAGAGTCTTTGACAAGTAAGTATGTATCAGTTGTCTGCCACCTCTAACATTTTTATTCAATACATGCATTAAAAACCTTACAAGTTATATTAAAAATACCACTGCTAGAATCATTTTAACCTGAGGCTAAAATATTCACTTAATTCGCTATTTTTTTAATTGGGGGACCACATAACAAGTTTGATGAAATGCTTATGAATGGCATATAAGGCATTGCCAAATGACTAGATTATTATGACAGGAATGTACAAGAATCATGGGGATATCAAGAAATATAAGTATATAATAATTTTAAACTAATCAGAACTGAAAATGCTAAAAAAAAAAATACTTGCAATTTCGTTAACATTGAATAACAGAACTGAAAGTTAAGACACCCTAAAAATTATTTATCACACATATTTATCAGATGACAATTTCATAAAATATTCCACATTTGTATTTTACAAATCAGCCCTAAAATATGCTATTGAACAGTACATGTTTTGGGTGAGTTGCAACATGAACATCTTTCATTTAAAGGACGAGGTGGTATAAGGTCAAGATCTTCATCATCAGGCTCAAGGTCTAAATTATATCCATCTTTGATCAACTGTTCAGTAATTTCTTTATGAGCAGCTTTAGGCAGCCGGGGAACATCAAACTCGTCTTCCTCACTAAGATCAGACAAAATCAATTAGCTACTAACAGATAAATCAGTTTTTCTATCACATTAAAGCCACTAAACACTAGACATCTTTTCTTAATTACATTAATTGTAAGTTTATATTATTTTGAATCTATTTCAGCTGGGGTCAAATATCAATAGTGTTATGATGAGAGAATGACGATCCAATATAAATCTCTCAACAATATCGCCATTGTTCCTTCCTTGGTTTATTACACTATTTACTAAGACATGGATAACAGCTTTCACATCTTAAATGAAGTACGTCACATCCTCGTCACACAGTCAGAATCTTTTATTAATATAAATCACGAGAAAAATGGCCCGTTGAGGAAGGATACAACGGGCGCTAGGCTGATAGTGCTGTCTCTTTTCTCTAAACTAAAACCACCCCACCCCCCCCCCCCCCCAAAAAACATGTCTACCGTCCCATTCAACGAAATATAATTATATACTTTTTCCAGTGTCCGCCCCCTCCCCGAAAATTCTACCCCCGCCCCCGAAAATTTCAAGTACCCCCACCCCTCTCCGGGGAGGAAAAAGTCTGAAAGAAACACTGGTGTCGCGCTTAGCCACTACCCGACGAATTGCATTAAAGAAATTGCAAGAAAACCACTTTTTAGATTAGACACATTAATTAGGCGGTAATTTTATTATAGAGTATCGATGAAGAAATTTCTTTTGAGTTAGGGAGGGGGGGCTCAGACGTTCTTACGCGGGGGTGGGGCTTCGCCCCTACCCGAAGAATTGTATGAAAGAAACTCTTCACGCAAACCACTTAGATTAGACAAAATTTCCTTTTTATTCAATGTTTACTCGAGAATCAATGACGTCATATTACTGTGTGCACTCTCCGGCTTGAGATTATTTTCTACTCTGTGCTAAATGTGACGACGTCATACTTCGTTTTTCAAATTACTATGCATGTTTTTAATTTGCTTGTGTTTTCTCTAGAGCGTTCTTGTCAGATAGATAGATAGACAGACAGCGAAACTATTAGTATTAATTCCACAAGACAAACACTCTCATACCCAAGCAGTACAATTAAATACCATTCAGAACAATCAAAATGCAGACGATCCAATTAAAACAAACAAATAACCTTTAAATTTTCCCTAGAACAAATACAGATCTAGAAAAGTGAAGTAAACAATTATAAAAGAAAAAAGATGATGTATTTAAAAAAACATTTTTGTTGGTGCCAAATCATTTTTTTAATAAAATAATTGTACTAACAGTAAAGTAGCATTTTAGATTGACTGTAAGGCATATGAAGTGGGATTTTGTGGTAAGTACTGAACTTTCCCTGATGAGTTCTTTAAAGCTTGATAGATTAAGGACATTCTGCTGACTCAAACTGGTGAACAGAACACTGGACTCCACATTAGCAATCATATACTCTGCCTCTCAACCATGCACTCCTTTCTTTCTGAAACTGTGAGAGAGGTATATCTTGGACATAAGGTTTTAAAACATTATAGTATACCTTTCATCTGACACAATAGCTACCAAGGGTTGTTGATCTGTTGAGGAGCCAGCCTGATCTAAATCCTTTTGTGTTACTCTGCTATTAGTTATTGGCACAGTGAGTCTATAATACATGTTCAATTTTGAAGATTAAAAATGTATTGAGAATTTTAAAAACATTTAATTAATTTAACATATTATTTAAATAAACTTTTTTCTTTAAACTAAAGGAGAACATGCTCTTTTCATTAATTAATTTACCAGTATGTCTTAAACAAAGTTTCACTTAAAAAGTTATAAATAAAAATAAAAGTTATAGATAAAAATTAGCAAACATTTAATTTCAACAAAGAAAACTAAAAAAAACCCACCAACCTTGAGCGAGAAACAAAACTTGACTTTCTTGGCTGCTGGTCAACAACTGGAGAAGTTACAGATCTTCTTGCCATGTCTCTCTGACGCTCTAAAATATATTTTAGCTTGTGTTGATAAAAATTAACTTATTCAAGATGTAAAGCACTATTTTTTATTTTGGAATCTACGGTACGAAATTCAATTCAATTGTTTTGAATATAATGAAACATTTATAAACTGTGAAATAAAAACAATATCAATAATCCCTTTTTTCTTTCACGTTAATTAAGTATAAGTAGTTAATTTTACAGCTGAAAACAAAAGAATTTGAAACTCCATATATTCTAAAAAAATATTTAATAAAAATAACTTGATGACTCAAAGTCAAAGGGACTGACATAAATAAATGTTAGGCCTATAGACCATGTATGTTTAAAAAATAACATAAATTACCAATTTTTTTCTGCAATTCAGAAGTTTTTTTCAAGCTTTTGAATGAAGGTTTCATATTGGATTGTACTGGTTGGTAACCATTCTGCTGTTAAGAAAGTAAAGCACTGATTCAAGTATGAACTGACCTTAGCTCAGAAAAATCAAATAGATACAGATCTAAATAAAATATTTTAAACTCCGCTTTTTTATGAATATTAATTAGGGCCCAAATAAAAACAGGTACGAAAACAAATGTACTGCATATTCTGCTAAGAATTAAATTGGCTGCATTGTAAACACTGCACAATTTGGGTCATCAGACTGTAATGTCACTGTAATGAGATTATTACGGAGAAATTTTCCTGCACTGCTATGGGGCGCCAATAAATGAAAACTTTTAAAAACTCATTGATTTAGCTCCAAATTAAAAATGGAGGATTGTTTTATACCAGTGTGTCAGTGTCCAATTATAATAGAATCTTCGCCTAATTTAGAAATTTAATAATATTATAATAATAATATTAATAATATCATCAACAAAAGGCTTTTTTATTAGGTTAAATTATGGATTTTTTAAAATAAATATTCTGTTATTTCAAATACACCATTAAGTTCCTTACCCCTTAAGAGAACATTTGACACTACATTTAAATATCTAGCTTGAGGAGAAAAGAGAGAATTTGAAAATTAATCTAGAATGGAAAATGAACGTCAAACCCTCGTTCTTGCCCCTCGACCGGCATAACATGACGTCGTGGACTTGTGTACACGAGCTTTTAATTCCCGCCATGGTAATTGCGTCAGTTTAGGTTATTTACTCACCGGAAAATAACAAAAAGCAACTGGTTGATAATAAAACTAGATCTAGTTATTTTATTATTTATTAAATTCTACTCTACATGTTATTCATACCATTTTATGAAGTAATGAACACCTGCATAAATCAAATTACCATAATAAATATTTTTATTTCAAATTCTAATTTTAAATAATAAATATGCTTAAAATAATATGATAGTAATAGTTATGATAGTTTATAGGCCTAATACAAATACATTTTACACTCAAATTGTGAGTTACGTTTACGTATTTCACCCATTGACATGAAAATTCTGACACACAATCATTGCACATTCAATATTCTAAATTTGGATTTTTCTCAACTTTTAACAAAAGTAAATTATCAAAATCTTAAAGAAAGTCAATCTCTTTGTTTTTTTATTTATATTTATTCATTTTTTAAAATAAAAATACAATACAAATAATAAATCGTGTTTTCCTAATGTTTTGGCGTGTTTCGGTTATTATAATAAAATACGCTCAACTGGGGGTAAACAAGAAGCGGAGAATAAAATATGCTAAAATCAACTAAAATGGAGTTTTACCCCATTTCACTACACTACACTAAAGTTAAGTACACTACACTTCACTACACAGACTACTGTAGACTAGTGTAGGCTGTCGTACAACACAGAGTACAGTCTGTACAGTACAGTACAGATTACTACTACACAGAGAGTGAGAGAGTCTAGTACTTAGTAGTACAGACCAAAGTCAAGTTTAGTCAAGCCTGTGTCACTGTCCGTCCAGCTGTCCAGAAAAACTTTCACTTTCACATCACGTTCTGTTGCAAAACAGTAGACTGCGTAGGTCTTTAGAGATATATATTTAGTATATTAATTATTAAGCTTACATGTGATTTCTGGTCGCTGTCGATCCCACTGTCTTCTATGTGTTCCATTTATTTTTTAATTTACGCTACACCTGTGTTCAAACAATTTTTGTTATTATTGACATGTTTGATTATGCTTTGTGGCTTCTCTAAATACCACACACAACCGAATATCGTCCACAAACTTGATCAAGATTCTATATCAGTCTAGTCTATATCAATTATTTTTCTCTTTTTCTTTGTAAGCCTATTTTTGGTGATTGTGTACTAACCAAGCTAGATTAAATCTAAATCTAGATTCTACGGAGTATGTCAAGTGTGTGCTCGTATTCTTTTGACAAAATGCAAAATCGTGTCCCTTTATAAGTTTATTTGTATAATCATGCTCACTCATGGTACTATTGTAATTAGACTATTAAAAATTAATTAGATTTCTCTAGACAATTACGGTGGTCACCAAAGTATACTTTAATGCAGTGGTCTCCAAACTTTTCAGTCCGAGGGTTGCATTAACTATCAAATTTCAGTTCGGGGGCCAATTAGTTCCAAACATGTCTTTGATTTTTCTGAGCAAAGTTCCTCAGCCATCACCAACAAACGTTTTTTTTTCCGTGGATAAAAAGATCGCCGCGGGCCGGATGAGAAGACCTCGCGGGCCGCATGCTTGGAGACCCCTGCTTTAAGGGATAAATGATAGATTGTATACAATACAGGCCTTCAAATACAATAATTAATGGCCTTACGCTACACACACACACGCGCACACATGTCTGTTTGTCTGTCCTTAATGCATTAGTACACCTTTCATCCGACCACTGTGAAAGTTTGGAAGGTTGTTAAAAATACTCATGGGGGGAGGTTTTTGAGTAAAAAAAAACCCCATTAATTTCGAAAGTACGGCGTCCCGACAGGGTGTGATTTGGCACCACAGGCTCCCATATGAACACTATACCGCCTACGCTTGTTTTAAATAGTGCGATACACTATGTATATGCTGGGCGACTATACTCATTCACTAAATCGAATAAGGTAAGGCGCGTTGCCCGGCGACCCGATACGGTACGATTTGGCGCCCGGGTCTCTCCCGCGAGCACTATGGCGCCTATATTCATTTTAAAGATAACTCCACATTAGGGACATGGTGGCACACGACATTTAATTATTAAACAGAACAAGGGATCGCACATTGCGAGTACGCCCAATCTTACTCTACTGCCGGAGCACCACCCTGGTTCGATTTAATCATCGATTATAGTAGCTCACTGTGTCCCATAGTGTATGGTCCTCTTTAAAACGAACTTAGGCGCCAGTGTTCACGGAGAAGTCCGGGGCGTACCGGGTCACAAGACCACCTTCCAGTTTGACCATTGAATCAAGTATTACCCCTGATCCCATGTGCAGGACGCAGGACACTCAATAGGCTAAAATAGCACTGAATATTTTTTTTCCACACGCAGAAACAGCCCCCCCCTCCTCGAAGAGTATTCATTTTATGGCTAACCACAGTATACAGACACAGAGTCATCCCCATAGACTGGCATAGAGTCATAGACAGATCTAGAGATCTAGGGAAACCGTCTGGTCTAGATCTCTAGACCTAGAAGATCTTATTTCTTATAGTTTATAGAAATTTTTAAAATGTTCTTATTTAAAACATTTTTAATATTAGATCTATCTTATTTTTAGATTGTAGACCCTTAGGCCTAGAGGCTAGATCTAGATGTTGACTCGATCTAGATCTAGACTAGAGTCTAGAGCTATTTTCATATTTTGTTTTATTCATACAAGGGATTCCAACATTTTCATGTCAAATTATAAACAAGATGGCGAGCAAGCTGAGTCCTTTTGTTTATTGGGGCCAGTCAAACGAGACAGTATCTCTTAAAGTAGATTTAAGAAATGTTGAGGTGATGTAAATCTATATTCTGGCACTTAAAGTTGATATATCTTTATGTTATGCTTTATTTTTCGCTAGATCTAGCTATTTTAATTATATTCTAAATCCAAATCTTCAACTTTTTTACATGCCAACCGGCATTTTGAGCCATTTTTTTAATTAATTTTTATTTTTTGTCGTTTGAGATTTTGATTTTGTATGATGATGAAAGCATTCTAGATCTAGATCTGAAAGTATTAATTAGCCTGCCATCCTCCTATTATGAGGGATAAAAAAATGTGTCAATTTATTTTAAAATTTTGTCTTCATACTTTTACTAGGCCAGCCTACATTGTCATTACTGGCGGCACCTTATAAAATACGAAGTGTCTACTCGGAATAAGATTTTTCGGCAAAAGATAGTTCTGCGCATGCGCAGTGACCTATGGCTAGGGTTAGGGCTAGAATGAGGGTTAGGGGTAGGGATAGGGTTAGGGATAGGATTAGGGCTAGGGTTAGGATTAGGGCTAGGGTTAGGGTTAGGGATAGGATTAGGGATAGGGTTAAGGATATGATTAGGGTTGGTATTAGGGTTCTGCGGTTGTAAACACACGCATGCGCAGTACCATCGAAAACATCGCCGCTAAGTCGTAGTTTCTCTCCATTGCGCATGCGTATCGCATGCGTATCTTATTCCGACTAGAATCGGCCTATAAAATAATGGTAATCTATCGTTTTGGGTACGTAAAATCGCCCGCGGCTAGTAATGTACGAAAAAGTTACCTCATTGTCAAGGCTTTAATAGAAGTATATTTTGATATATTTGTGTCAAATATTATAGATAAATGAATAATAAACCTAAATCAACAGCTAAATATATCAATATAGGAAAGAAATTAACTTTTAACAGCAGTGTTTGTGAGCAGGATTTCCTATATAAACAGCAACCATTGTAAAATAGAGTTGCCTTCCCCTGAATCTCGTTAACAAAGAAAGAACTTAAACAAGATGGCTGCTAAATGAGCAAGGTTGCATCTGTTGGAAACATCGCTAGTCTTCATTTATTATTGAAAAGTTTTAATTCAATTGTTTGAAAACAGGTAAATAAATGAAACAAGGAAACATTTTTGTATTTTTCAAAACACAAATCCTCCTCAAAATGTGAAATAATTATTAAAATTTAAGGAGTCACCTGTTTTTCACATTACTAGTCGCGGGCGATTTTACGTACCCAAAACGATAGATTACCAAAATAATAATAATAGGAATAATAGGGCCTAATGGCTAATAATATAATTTTTTTAAAAATCAAACTTTTGCCTGGACAAACTTAAGAAACTGAATTGAATATTTTATTTTTAAGAATCAGTGGTTTTATCTATAAAAGATGGAAAATCTGTAGTGAGTGTACAAACCAATCAAATACTCGGTTTCTCTGAACTTTGGTTGGCTGTCATGCAACACATACACTGTGTTTTTTTGGAGCTAAAAATAGCCTGTCAATTGACCTACTTTTACCGTCGTCATGGTAATGATGGCTACTGAAAATGACAATACAGTGATTTCTTTTTTTTCACAATATTTCATGTTCATTTCAGAAATATATAGGCCTACTTTGTTATTATAAATATTATATAAATTGTTATTTTTGTTTATTATTTAACGATACTAATCTAGTTTTAACAATGGACGATTAGTGTTTGAATAGTTTGATAAAAATTTGCCATTTGTACATTTTTTGGTCCAATCGCTGAGAATATCGAGCAGAACATAATACAGTTTTTTCACAAATCATTTTCTAGGCTACCGATTAAATTTGATAAATAAAATAGGTTTCAAATTAAAGGTAAATAAATGTAGTTTTTCATTAAATCATCTTGAACAATAATGAAGTTTAAAATCTCATTCGACACCTTAGCTAAAAAAAAAATTCAGAAAAAGCCATTTTTATGTTTGCAGATATCTCAGAGAATAAACAAAATGATTCATTTTAAAATGTAGGACTATTAAAAAAAAATGACCCTTTTGTGACATATTTGAATGTAAACAATTGCGCTTGTGTCACATCAAATAAAGACACTCTGTCATGCCAGAGTGATTTTGATGTTTCTTGACTACAAACCAGAAGACAACAAATACATGAAAATATTGAATAGTTTTTGAAGGTTTTTAAGTTGAATTGGGAGCATTGGGTAAATGTGTTTATCCTAGAGTTGACTAGAATAATTTACCTTGTAATGTTTTAACATCGGCCTTAGGTGGCTGTGTAATATTTGCAAAATGTAAAAACTGATCAAGTAGCTGTCAATTCCCTTATCTCCACATTTCAGACACAGTTCAAATACCCTTTGTAGTCAAAATGAAGATTCCAAATACCCAATTGAGGGTTGTCTATAAATGATGTCACTTAAAGTATGCTACAGAAGGGGGAGGGTGAGGGTTCAGCGGCAGCATCTAAATGTTTACGTCGCAGCATTATAAAATTAACCAAAATTAAAGTATTTATGCTATGGCTAATCTGATCCTTGTTTTTTTTAGAAAAATTGATGTACTCTCGTTTTCTGTGAATAAGAGACTCATGAAAAGTAATTCTTATCATTAATTTTCCAGACAAGCATATTTTTGTCCAAAAAAAACCAAACTTTTTTTTTCTTCTCTAAAACTAAGTAATCATTCTTCAATAAATAAATAGCTAATATAAAATTTATATTAGTGTGTAGGACGATTAATTTATATTAGTAATGTGTGGATTTTAAATCAGCATGTAAAAAGTTATAAGTCGTTTAGCCGCAGGTAGAGCATGAAAATAGTTACGGGCTTAGAGTTAGTATGGGTCTTTATGGTAAACCATCTTAACTTTACTGTGACTTAATGAAACCACTAGAATTAAAATTTGTATACCTTACGAATTATAAACATTTTATATTTTCAGAATGTTGAGGTTACTCTAACAAAAGAAAGTTTGGATTTCAGTGCACAAGGGTTAGGTGTAAAGGGAAACAACAAATACAACTTCCATTTAGATTTTTACTTACCTGTTGATCCTGAGGTTAGTTTTTCATTAAAAAAATTTTTAAAATCTCATTTGTTCTGTAGCATAAGAGATCCTGCAATTTACAATTTTTTTATTCATTTGTTATAGAAAAGTAGGTACAGGAAAACTGATCTCGCTGTTGAATTTCAAATTGAAAAATTAGTGGGTGAAACATGGCCAAGATTAACTGAGCAACGGATAAAACTCCCATGGCTTAAAATAGACTTTGATAAATTCCCACTAGATGATTCAGATGAGGATGTGGAGGTGGATAAAGCTAAGGTACAAACATATCTTAATTAATATTTGTGATTCTTAGGAAGTTTTATTTCTGATTATGATGATGTTTCTGAAAATCAACATACATATGCTGCTTTTAATATTCTAATTGTTGTTTACTATTATTAGAGTTTTGAGGAGATGCAGAATAAAATGGCAGCTGAATTAGAAAATCAAGATATTTCAGGTATGTTTAATAAAAAACAATTATTTTTTTGTAATTAATTTTAAATATATATATATACTATGAGTTTATTTTATTCAATATTAGATGTTATTTAAAAAGTTTAAAAAATTCAAACATTAAACTATTAAACTTTTTAGTGTAAATGTTTAAGGAATTTATTGTTTTCTTTTACAGATAAACCAACCCCGTCACAGACATACTTGTTTTTGTATAACCTTTTCCAATTTGTTGGATACACGTACATTTTTATCACTTTGATGTACAACTATGTTAGATATGGGGAATGTAAGATATCTTATTTTAAATTATTATTTTATAAAGTATAATGGATATTGGCAAGATCCATCTAACAATAATACAGACAATAAATAGCCTGTCATTAGTTTTCAAGAATACAAAAAATAATTTCAAATGTTACCAAGTATATATCTTTAAAAAAATTCCACTCTATTAATATTCATAATAATCATTAAAGTATTATTTTACAGCTGCCAGACAAGCAGCTTTTGAAGGTGTTGGTACACAGATGATGACTTGTCAGGCCTTAGCAACTCTGGAAATATTCCATTCACTTTTAGGTTTGGTGAAATCAAATGTTCTCATGGCTCTTGTACAGGTAATTGTAGCTTAAGTTGTGAACAATTGTACTCTATCATAGGTTTTTTCTTCAGAAACTGAGCTGGAGAAATATTTGTGTACATCAGCTTCTTTTGATGCTCTATTAAGTATTATTGTACTTTGCTTTGGAAGGGTAAACATGTTTTAAACCTAAATAACTTACAAAGGTTGTTGGATTCTTATTTTTATTATTATTAGTGTTGATAGCTTATATTATTTATGTTTGAAGGGGAGGGATGAGAATGGTAAGCTTTATAATAAATAGTAATAAATCACTGAAGCTCTCCTTGGCATACAAAACATATTTTATTCACAATGGCTTTCTTTCCAACCACTGTTGGGTACTTGTCTACGACCTTGCGTGATCTTGACAATATTGATCATGTTCTTTACAATATATTGCTTATACATTAAAAGTTATGCTCAATAAATGTAGGATTTTGTGCCATCCTATAAAGTAAATTGAGCTTTTATGCTTTATCCACAGGTGCTAGGAAGAAACTTTATACTATTTATTTTAATTCTACAAGAACCACGCCTCCAGATATCATCGTGCTGTTGGTATCTGTTTGCAGTTTGGGCATTAGCTGAAGTTATCAGGTAAAATCTATTCTCTTTTAAATTGATGCTAATAGCTGTTGGTCATTTATAAGTTAGAAAATTCTGGACAAGAAGTATAGTTGCAATAAATATTAAAGCTTTTCCTTGTATAGATAAGTCAGCTTTTAAATAAAAAGAGAGATTGAGCTTCTAAGAGATAAAACACTTATTCTCTTGATAATTGTTATTTAACTTTAGGGATATGTACAAATGTGTACAGATTGAATATCTTACCATTTCTTTATCTGTTTTTCCTATAAAATAATAACTAATCAAGTAGCTGTATTTGGGTTTATTTATTAAGGTAGGGCGTCACATGGGTTTTTAAGCTTCATGGTTGTTTTTGAAGACTTAAACAATTAAAAGCTACATTTTTATTAACTTAACTTAAATACCAAGTTCAATTATCAAAGTAAATTTGTAGTATAGAAAATGCTTTTAAGACAAGGTTTTTGTTATTTAATGGCTACCATTAAAGACAAAGTGGAAAATAGGATAGCAGCTTTTTTTTGGCTGTCTCTTTGTTCATGTAACTTAGTTCTGTACTAAGGAACATGGTATGTTTTGATGGCACAAATAAGGAAATATTTATTTGTGTCAATATTATCTAAGAAAGTTTGGGATCCTTCTTGTTTCAGTTTAATCACAAAGGTTAGTTCCAACTTTAATAAATAATGAAAGGAACACTGTATTGTTACTGACATCATTTTCTTTTATAGACAAGACAAAACACATGATAAATAGCCATGAAAAAAAAACAACCAAGAAACTTAATTACTATACTTTTAATTTATTTAACATTTATGCGGACTGCTAATCTACAAAACCTTACAACATACCATATTAAAGTCACAAACTGAAAGGTTAATAACTAAACCCAATGGAATTAACTCAATTCCTATATTTACACACAACTGACCAAACATGCTCTCAAAATCATTGTATTCTGTATTCCAATTCCATAAAAAAAAAATTTTCTTTTGCAGATACCCATTCTATATGTTCCAAATCTTAGATTTCAAAATCAGACAGCTTACTTGGCTTCGATACAACATGTGGATAATCTTGTACCCACTGGGAATTATAATAGAAGGTATGGGCCTGTTACATTTTATTGTTGATTTCTTGAAAACAGATTTTCTGAATTGTAACTGTCAGTTATTCAAATTTCAATGCAGCTTTAAGTATAGTGAAATAAAATTAATGCAACAAAACTTTGGTTCTCTAACTTGCTGTTATTTTTTTTTTCTAATTTGATATAATTATTTAATTATTTGAAAATATGATAATTGAACTACAGAGCTTTTTTTTCTTTGTAATCCACAGCCACAATTGTTTTTCAGTCCATATCCTATTTTGGTGAAACCAACTTTTTCAGCATAGCTCTGCCCAATTCTGGAAATATTGCTTTTCATTTTCCTTATTTTTTAATTGCATATCTTGCATTAATGTGCTTTGGTAAGTCATTAATGATTATTTACATCTATAAAAAATATTTAATAAAAACGTGTTTTTTAAAGAATAAAAAACAATTAATGTTGAAATATGCAAAAAAGTACAGCAAAAATAACGTTTAATTAGCACATTTGGTGTTAGGTGAAAAAAAGTATATTACTTTAAATTATAAAATGCATTGAAAAGAATGAGTTATGACCATTTGATTTGTTAATTATTTAATTAAAAATTAGCTTTTTAAAAAAGTCAATATGTTTCAACTTTTTTTTTCTTCTGAAAATGAAATAAAATTACAAGTTTAAGCTTTTACAAGCAATAACTCTTCACTTTGTTAAATTGAGTTAAAATCAGCCTTGTTTATTTTTTATTTCAGGCTCCACAAACAATCTCAAGTATATGTACCTACAAAGGCAGAAACAACTTTACATTTCTGGTGCAAAAAATACTCACTCCTCTAAAAACAAATACACATAGATATGCATGAGTTCCTTCCCCTGCATTGATGTTTTAAATACTTTAATTAACAATAACATTATAATGTTACAGACAATTATTGCTTTATTCGGTTATTATAGTAAAATTAAAAGTTGATTTTGTTTTAACACTCATACACATGATATGGATACTTATTATTTGAGAAAGATTATTTGTTAGAAAGAGAATTATTAAATTAAAAAAAAGGATGTAATAATATTAAATCCATAATGCTACTATTTCTGTATTTCTTTACTTATTAAAAAGTTGTAAACATTGTAATATGTGAAACAAGTATTTGTCAACTCAGTGTATACATGAAAGATATTTGCCATCTTGGACAGTATAAGCTGCATGTCCCATCTTTATAACCTGGGGTAAAAATTACAGTTCATTGATGTTACTGAAAACTATCAGTCACAACAGTGGCAACCATTCTCCATCAGTTACAATGCACCATTCTGTTGTCAGCTTTGAAATGTAGAATACATGATGCTACCTTAAATGTTCAAATAATACAGCACTAACTGCAGATATAGGCACTAAAATATACGGGTCCGTGGCCATCAATCATTCTAATCACTAATTAAAAGTATTACTTCAAAAGGGCAATTACTACATATGCTAGAATATTAAGCATTTTAGTTTATTTTTTATTCTTTTCCTCAATTGACATTTTAAAAGTTAATTTGTTATTTAAGATTTTATTTTAGATTTGTAAAAGCAGAACAGTAATGTTGTTCTTATTATGGAATGGTTCATTGATTTAATTCATTTGTAGTTATTGTTTAAATGGCATTAAATTTTTCGTTTTAAAAATAATTTTTACATTTTAAAATATATGTTTTAGAATTTCACTTTTAGTCTACATATGCAAAATATCACAAGTCAAATAGTTATTTTATGTTGTTTTAAAAATTTTTATTAAGCACCTTCTTGATTATTAATAAAAACTAATTTATTTATCTAATAATGTTGCAAAATGTTTTTTTAAAAATGACGAATAATTTTTGTTTACTTGGTTTTTAGTTATCTGAATGTATCGTGAAATGCTAGTTTTATCATTTATTTGGAAACCAGTGTTGTAAAAAAAATATATTTAATGAATTGTATTCATTTAAGATTTTGCATAGTTATGTAATTTTTTCCCCGGTTGTTCTTTTATTTGTTTTGTATTATCAAAGTTTACAATACTACTAGATGTTTTAAAATAACTGTTTTACTTTCTAGTACTGGTTGTATGATTTAAAAATATCCATTCTTTTGTAGTAATTTCTTAAAATTAAGAGGCATACAGCTATACATTAGTTGTATCAGTTAATTTTTATACTACGTTCTAATAATAATTACTTACTTTTAACTTTTTAATCAGTGCACCAATTCTGCTTGGCAAAATGTTTTACACTTTTGTTTCCTGTAGTCAGAGTGGACTTAAAACATGGCAGCATAATTATTTTTGCTGTAGACTTGTGTTTTACCCATTATGCAAATATTATATCCTCATCTTTTAAAACTATAGTTCTCAAACTTAGCATGAAGATTGTATATTTTAATAAGAAAAAAATATGTTGCTTACAATGCTTTTTCCTTTTCTTTTTGTTTTAAAATGTCAATTAAAACAGGTTGTTGCTTAATTAAATTAACAAAATAAACAGAAAATATTAATTTTATTGTTTTTATGTATCTTAGTGCATTATTGTGGCTTGAGAGATAATGTGGGGAAGGGGAGGGGGGTGATTTTATGTGTGTAGATTACAAAAATTCTTAAACCACCAAATAGTTGCATGAGGTACAGTTGTGAAACTTAACGTTACAAATGCTGTGTATATTTTCCAAAGGATTACGCTAAATGAATCTCCTACTAACAACTTAAAACGTCAATGTCACCTAGGATCTAATGAGATGAGTAGGCTATTTAAGTCTCCTTATGAGATTTTGAAAAACCGTGTTAGCTATTAAAGGATGTGTGAAAAGGTAATTTTATCTATTTGTAACAATTTTACAAACTTTTATTTAACTTTCTGTCTCTGTCTGTCGTCAGTCTGTCCGTCTAGAGTGAAACACCCAAGCGAAATTTCTGGCACTTCTGACAGATTCGGTTCAAAGTTGGCACTTGGGTCAAGACATGAAGACATGCAATCTGACATTAAATTTGACTTAATTGAATGCCTAATTAATTTTTTTATGAATCAATTAAAATTGTGGCCGAAGTAGTTAGCTGTCTTACCCAACTATTCCGCACTATTATAGCGGAATGTTCATTAGGTGCACAATGGTTTTTAGTCATGTAACTCTCTCTATTGTAAATAAAAAAATTTAAAGTACTGAAAAAAAATTCCTAAAAACGTTTTAATAACAAGGTTTTATGTAATAATGCACTAAAAAGTAGAAAATAAATAATTTTCTTTAAATATATATTACACATTAAATAACTTAAGACTTAAACTATAAAGAAAAGCATGGGTCTCTTCCTAAATAATAAAATTATTAAAATATTATTAGGTAAGTAAAGGTATCCAATCCAATAGATAATAAAGTGACCCACGCTTTTCTTTATAGTTATTTAAATAGTAGTTATATTAATTATTATTTATTAAATATATTAATTATTATATATATATATATTAAATATTTAAATACAATTATTTATTTTCTACTTTTTGGTGCATTTGGCATTATTAATTATTAAATTTAAAAGCTTGTTATTAAGGGGTCATCCATAAATGACGTCACGCTTTTTTGACGATTTTTACCTCCCCCCTCTCCTCCGTCACACGTCGTCACAAAAAGCCAGACCCCCCCCCTAAAATGACGTCACACCTCAACATACAACCCCCCTGACAAATAAATTGCAGTTGAATTTTTTTTAAACATCGATATTTTTCCAAAATCTTGTCTAAACTATTACAATTTATTAAAACAGTTATCTAAAACACGAAATAACGTCTAAAATTCATTTTCTAACATTGCTTTTTTATGATGCAAAAATGTGACGTCGCAACATCTGAACCCCCCCTCCCCCTCATCACACATCGTCACAAAATTACGGACCCCCCTCCCCCCTACGAGTGTGACGTCATTTATGGATGACCCCCTAAAACGTTTTTTTTTTAGGAACTAAAAATAAATAAATTCCAATATATCTTTATTTTATCAATCAATATTCAGTATGTTAAACCTAAATAATAAAATAAATAAATTAGGCCTATAGATCTACAAACTACAAATTATTAGTCGGTCACACACTTAAGTTAAATTTCCTATGTAAGTTATTTTTAATCTGATAGTTTGAAAAATAGTAGTTGATTCACACAGCTGATGATTAGATCTATGTAGTTTGTAGGCCAGTGGCGTAGCTAAGATTTTTGGGCCCCTATGCAAAAAGTGTTAGTGGGCCCCTCAGAGGCGTAACGACCCTTCCCGGCGACCGGGGACAAACTTTCGATTTGCCCCCCCCCCCCCCCCTTCAGACGAAAAAGGGCCCCTATTTGCCTTGGGCCCCTTCGGGCCTTTGCCTTGCTTACGCTAGCTTTACGGTAGCTAAGCCACTGATGTAGGCTACTTTTGTGTTCTGCTAGTGCTAGTCATGCTCTAAAATAGGGAACAACTTGACACTCTTACAGTTGTTTTCAGATAATAATTTTTAGGGTGACTTCCCTTATTGTATTCAATGCTAAAAATAAATTCCATCGTTACGTCAGATCCGGTTAATGGTTTTGTTGACAGAGGGACTTCATTCAGGTGACGGGATGATTAACGCAGGAGGAACTAGATCTAAATCAAAATATTAGGCTAGTGATTACTTTGGACCTAGAATCTAGTTTAAGTTCTTTTTTGTTTTTAAAATGGCTGTTTTTCATTAGAACCTTCCTTTTTTTTAAAAAAAAACCATCAGTAAGTATGCACAAAAGGTTATTTTAAATTAATTTTTTTTAAAATAAATGGCCTAATTTATTTAAAAAGTAAAAAAAAAAGTCAAAAGTTAATAATAAATTTAAATAAAACCTTTTAAAATCCGGATAAATTAATTTACTTTGCTGATTACAAAGAGAGTGAGTAGATATAGATCTAATATTTGACATTCAGTAATTCACCAAATGGGGCATCAGTGAATGACATGCTTTTTTTAAAACTGATTTTTGATTTTTTGTCTCCCCTCTGTCACACATCAGTCACAAAAAAGCCAGACCGCCCTCCCCGGACTTTCCCCATCTAAAATGATGCCAGACCTCAGCCTACAACCCTCTCAAAATTGAATGGCAGATATTTTTTTTTAAACATTGATTTCTTTCTAAAATATTGACTGTGTTCACTGTTCAGTCAGCGTTATTAATCAATTTATATTACAATTTACTAAAACAGATTTAGGCTAATCGCCGCTATATAATATGCAAAATGACTAAAATTCAGTCTCTAACACTACTAGATCTAGATCTATTTTTAAATGCAAAAGTGTGAAGGCACTCTATCTGAACACTCTTCCCCTCATCACACATCATCACAAAATTATAGGAGTGTGATGATTGGTTGTGTGTAGTCATGCTAATGGTGTGTTGTAGACATTCTGTAAAAGACTTATACATTTAAAGATCTACCTACATAGGGCTTAGGCCCTACTGCTTATACTAAAAGTAGTAGGGCCTAAGTAAATCTTTAAATAGACTTTTTTCTCTGGGGGGGCACTTGAAATTTCATTTCGTTCGGGGGGGGGGGGGAACGATGACGAAGCCCCCCCCCCCCCCCCCCCCCGAAGAGATGCCTGGAAGAAACTCTGCTTTAATGTTGTGACCAGCTGGTCTAATGTACTGTATATCTTTTTACTCACAGGCCTGGGCATTAGGCTATTATAATAAGTCTTAGACCTGATGTAGTTTTACTGTGTAGTATAGTTTCTTGACTATTGGTGGTCCACTTTTTATTCATTGATACTAAACCTAGGCCTATTTCATAAAACCACACATTTTGTTAAATTGGTTACATCACAGGTGTAGTTTTCAAAAAATATGTTAATACATTTTAAAAAAAAATTTAATTATGTCTTTTAAAATAAATTAAAATTAAAGTTTTCACATTTTAATTAATAATCTAAATAAATGTTAACTATAGAAAAGCTTAATACATGGTTTATATATACTATGTTTTCTGAAAGGTTATTATGCTGTTTGGCTTACAAAAAAACAATTAGCTGGCTTGGAAAGCATTATTAAAAGAACTCTAGTTGCTGTTCAAGACTTGGATATTAGTGCCAACAAATGGAAGCTGATGAAGTTACTGTAGTTGGTGAGTTTTTTTTATCACAAATTTGTTTCCAGTTTTAGGTTTTTTATATAGATCTTGCTTTATTTTCAGTAGTATAAGCCTATCAAATCTATAAATGTTTTCTTCACTTATTTCTAACTAACCTATATGAGACCTTAATGAAGTTTTATCAGTTTACCAATCGACTTCTGTAACACTATATGGGAATATTTAGATGGCAGTGTGTTCAGGTATTGGTTGGATACATATCAATCTGCTGTTGCTCTAAATGGTAGTTCTGTTTATTAAATTAACATATGTTTTTTTTATTTTTACTTTCTCATATAAAGAGTATAGAGAAAGTATTGTTTTGATTCTATTAAACAAGTAGTATGGTTATGTGATAGTCACATATGATTGTTTATGGTGGTACTGTTGATAGTGATGGTGATACATTGGGCTGTTAGTATTGTTAATGTTACACATTATATGTAAAGTAAAAGTTCCCTGACGGTCTATAGGGCAAGTGAAGTAGAGTTCTCTTGTTTCTGTGACCTCGGCATATGAGAAGAGATATTGTGGTCAGCACTATGCCCTCTTACACATATGATACATTGTTAATATCACTGGATGTGATATGCTAATACTGTTGTCAATGGGAAGTAAAACCACACTACAGTAGATAGTAATGATGTTAGATATTATTGTTTGTTTTCTTTGTTTGTTTTTTTTTTTGCTTTAATCTGTTCTCCTTCCTCTCTTGTGTGTAAATGTTTTATTTCTTCCTTTACTCTTGCCTCTCACTGATTCACGTCCCAAAGACCAGACGTCCTCTCGGCTCTCACTCATTCACATACCAAAAAGACGAGCTAATGAGTGTTTGTTTCAGCCTATTGAAGTTTTTTTGTCAGACGTTGAAGGGGAGAATGGCCGGGTTGTTTGCTGACCAGTGGTGCTAAAGCCTGCTAAAGACAGCAGGTGTTAGTGGCCGCTCATTTGGTCAACAACTTCCTGACAGCTGACACAGAACAGGTCTGTGGTCCAGCAGCTGAACGGATGTCTCATTATAATGGGGGGGGGGGTCACCAATGTATTGAATTCACTTCCCACTAAATTCCGAAAACATTACACTTTAGTCTCCGCTCTTGCGGTGCCTGAAAAATCGCGAAAATACTACACTAAATTTGTTTTTGGTGAAGCTCAAAGTAGGATTACGGTTTTGATTTGAGTATCGAAAATATTGGTACCGAGTTACCTTCTTTGTCGCATGAATAGGTAAACAATAAACATCGTAGATTAGAGTTAAATCTAATTAACTTTTAGCCTAATGTATATTTATTCCTCCATCTCTCTAGTTGTCAACACCTATGGTATTTTCTCTATTAGCGTACCTTTTAAACTTTAAAACACGGTTCAAAAACAAGCAGTGTCTAGTGTTTTTTGTTGACACGCTAGCCTAGCCAGTGTTTGGTTACGGTGAAGGACAGACTATTGTTGGGGTCCGCTAGACTTCAATCATCTTCTTTTCTTTGCTCGCTCGGCACACTTTAGTTAAGCGCAGATTAAATATCTGTTTTGTAATGGCTGTACGATCAACAAAATGTGAGGGGGGAAAAGTCACGGATCTACTGGCTGCAGCTAGATCTATCTGCCCTCGTGTCCTACTAGGTCTAGCTGCTGTCTAGTCAAAGCACGCCACGCCTTCCCGCTCATACACTCATGTTGTGGTCGACCAACGGTAGCATCCGTATGACGGCATTCCCTACACACGACTGTCACACAAAAATTAAGTGGGGTCATTACTCATAACAATGTATTCTGACGTCAGCGGCGGTTGTATTTAAATGTTACGGCTTAAATAAACCTAGCAATTGTAGTTGCTGCTACGGAAAGTTGTTTTGTGTGAAATACTATCTGTCGTTTATAACGGTGTATGCTGTTGTTGACCCCATCCTTCCCTTTCATCAACTATGGTGTGTTTAACTGAGGTTATTCAGAAGTGATGTCTTTGTATTGTCCTGTGTAGCTTATTTAACATAACCTAATATAGCAAGTTTAAATCACGTATTTTTACTGTCATATGAAGGCTGAGGTTACTCAGAAATAATGTCTTTGTAATGTCATATGTGTAGTTTACTTAGCGTCCTACAGCAGGTTTTAATCAGGTATATTTACTGTTATATGTACACGTCTTAAGACGTCGTGGTCGAGTTGTAGAGCGCTCCACTACTACCCATAAGGTCTCGAGTTCGGTCCTTTGTCCAGACTCGAGACTCCCCAGAGTTCACCCAGCTCTGTCGTGTGCCTGACTCACGTCAGGGAAAGTTAAGGCGGCTGAGCATAGAGCTGACCACACAATCGCTTCATGAAACATCGACTCAACTTCATCTGTCTTATTATGTAAGGTCTGAAAGGGAACTTTACAAATGTATAAGTCTACTGACACTGTGTGCTAAATAGGGGTGTACTGTCATATATGTAGGCCTGCTATCATACTGTGATATGGTGTTAAATAATGGGCGGCAATAGCCAATAATACCTAAAGCCGACATGATCCTTCAATTTTCGATATAATATCAAATTAATTAGTTGGATTAAGGACAATTAAGGTATTTTCCCCTATTTAATTCCCACCCCACTCCCCACTAAATCGTGCTTGCGACAGTTTAAAAAGTGCCCCATGACTTTAAGTGAATGAAAAGAACCATCTTTAGTTCAGCACGTAGGGACAGCAAGTAGCTCTATCCGTCCCTCTTTAAACTTGTAAGTAGCTCTATCCGTCCCTCAGGCATTATACTTGTAAATAGGCGTCATTTCGGAAGGAGTCATAAATATCTTACTTCTTTATCTAACACATTGTAAACACCACCGCAGGTTGTAAATACCTTAACTCAGCTCACTCATGGGGAACTACGATCCGCAGAATTTAGTTGTGGTCATAAAATATGTTCATTCCTTATTTGGGCGGTCGATTTTTGTTAGTCTGCTTGATCTATTTCACAAGAGACCTTAATCAGAGCCTATTTAGTTGAGAAATTAGTTCATTTAAGTAATAAGTGGACCAAATTATATTCTAGCTTGATCAATACTCGAGTACTGTTGTGGTTCTGAGATTGATTACATTATGGCGGACATGTAAGTTAATTAAAGGGTAACACAGTGGCTCGACATCGGGTTGTGTTGTAGCATGGCCATCGGGTTGTGTTATATATTAGCGTGGCCACCGGATTGTTGTCTTATAGCTTGGCCATCGGGTTGTTGTGTTATAGCATGGCCATCAGGTTGTGCTAAGCCTGGCAATCGGGTTATGTTATAACATGGCCATCATGGTGTTGTTTTATAACATGGCCATCAGGTTGTGCTAAGCCTGGCAATCGGGTTATGTTACAACATGGCCATCATGGTGTTGTTTTATAACATGGCCATCAGGTTGTGCTAAGCCTGGCAATCGGGTTATGTTACAACATGGCCATCATGGTGTTGTTTTATAACATGGCCATCAGGTTGTGCTAAGCCTGGCAATCGGGTTATGTTACAACATGGCCATCATGGTGTTGTTTTATAACATGGCCATCAGGTTGTGCTAAGCCTGGCAATCGGGTTATGTTACAACATGGCCATCATGGTGTTGTTTTATAACATGGCCATCAGGTTGTGCTAAGCCTGGCAATCGGGTTATGTTACAACATGGCCATCATGGTGTTGTTTTATAACATGGCCGTCGGGTTGTTGTGTTACAACATGGCTATGATGTTGTGTTATAGCTAGGTCATTGTGTTATAGCATGGCCATCATGTTCTTTGTAACATGGCCGTCGGGTTGTTGTGTTATAGCATGGCCATCATGTTCTTTGTAACAAGGCCGTCGGGTTGTTGTGTTACAACATGGCTATGATGTTGTGTTATAGCTAGGTCATTGTGTTATAGCATGGCCATCATGTTCTTTGTAACAAGGCCGTCGGGTTGTTGTGTTACAACATGGCTATGATGTTGTGTTATAGCTAGGTCATTGTGTTATAGCATGGCCATCATGTTCTTTATAGCATGGCCGTCGGGTTGTTGTGTTATAGCATGGCCATTGGTTGTTGTGTTATCCCATTGCCTTCGTGCTATAGAATGGCCACCAGATTGTGCTATATCATGGAAAATAATGTTAGACTCGATTTATACCTGGAAAAAAATCATTCTAAGGTAGACACAATATCAATCTAAAGCGTCAACTTTTAACCCCCCCCCCCCCCCCCAACTTCTTCGTTCAATATTTGAATGGCCGGGGCTATTGACTTGAATGATTGTGAGAACTGGTAATCGGTCTATGCCATTGACGTTAATCCGTTCAAAGTGTACCGTGTGTGAAATCTCCCCCCAGACCACACCCCCCCCCCCCGCTCTAGTAAACTATTGGTGTTACATGAATGTTTAGTTACTTTTCCTTCTCAGATACAACTTTTCTATGTATACAATGTAGTCGCCTGAGGTGATTGATTGTCCAGCAAGAATGGGTGGGGGGTGTAGGTCGGCCATAAGTCGGTACCCTAGGGCTTGTTGAATGAACACACGTTACTAAGTGAATACACGGTGGGCACACATTTGTATACATCTTGTTTCTACACTGAAGAGTAGAATATAATCTCCCCTCAGTATACATTCTAATTCTAGTGACATTGTTACATAGGTGTTGACTTTAATGAGGTTGCCAATCCTGGTCTAACCTATAAGTTAATCACCTTCATGTATGTGTCGTTGACTCTTTCGTCCTAAAAGCGCTGTTAACATTGACTCGCGATAATCGGAACAAAGTTCACCTGTCGATTCGCGAAAATAAAAGAATGTAGATCTAGAAAGACCTACCAACTAGTTGGAATACATAGGTGAACAAATGCATGCCTTAGACTCCCTATTGCTGAACGACACCTTCTTTTTCTCTCTTAATTGTAGTGTTCAAAGAGATTTCACCCAACACAACTAAGCATTACTTGTCATCGTATTATGCGCCATACAGGCCATTGACTCCGATTTCAGACTTTTTTTTTTCTGGATATG